ACACGAAATATGGCGACAAACCGGGAGAAGCAGCCTCTTACGCAGGTTTAGCACAATGTTTTCATTTGCTTCGAAAATATGAAGTGGCTGAAGACTATTTTCAAAAGGCACTCTCATTAAGCAGGGATATCGGACTCAACCTGGAAGAGTTTCAGTTCCGGTCCTTTGTGATCTAACAGCTTTGAAGTTATCTCAATGTGATCGCAAAGAAGCCCTTTTGTATCTTTATCAGAGCATTGAGAAATTCGATACACTGCGTGGTTTTCTTAAAGACAGCGATCGGTTCAAAGTATCTCTTTTAGAGGAACATGGTACCTTTCCCTACGAGTTGCTCAGTTATCTGCTTTCTAAAACCGGGAAGCCACAAGTTTCTCTTTATGTCGAAGAGCTGAGACGGGTAAGAAGCCTAGCCGACTTGATGGCAGCTCGATATTCTACCAAAGAGCCGCAGATCTCAGGAAATCCACTTTCATGGTAGGGTATTCAATACATAATTACGAAAGAAACTGACTGTACCTGCCTTTACACCTCGGTTGGTAAAGGAAATGTACGGTTTTGGATTCAGAATCCAACGGGAGTGGTACGTTTCTCAGAAAAGAAAGTTAGTCGGGACAAAAACGAGAAGACCGGATTAGTACCTGACTTGGATGAGTTTTTAAGAGAAAGCTTTTCCAACCCTGTCAAAGATACCATTGGAACTAATCTTCACTTGTGTTACATGATTATCATCGCTCCCGTGGTCCATCTACTGGAAGAGCCCGAGATCATAATTGTCCCTGATCCCAGCATGTACCAAGTTCCATTTGCGGCCTTGATTGACCAAGAAGGCAAATGGTTATCAGAAACAAAAAGGATCCGCATCGTTCCGTCTTTGACGACTCTGAAGCTCATTCAGGACAGTCCTTCAGACTACCACAATCAAACAGGTGCACTGATAGTGGGTGATCCTGTTGTTGGTGTGGTATTGTACAAAGACAGACGCAAGGAAATAACACCATTGCCGAAAGCAAAAAAGGAGGCAGATATGATTGCAGAACTCCTTGGCGTGACAGCCTTGATTGGAAACCATGCAACAAAGCAGGCTGTGCTGGAAGCAATGAACTCCGTGAGCCTGATTCATTTTGCTGCTCATGGCTCTGACGAAAGAGGAGAGATTTTTCTTTCCCCCGAGCGTACAAACAGCCGTGTTCCCCCCCGAGAGGAAGCCTACCTTTTGACGATGGAGGATATTTCAAAAATTCAGCTGCGTGCTAAACTGGTGGTTCTAAGCTGTTGTCACAGTGCTCGTGGACAGATTAGAACCGAGGGAGTTATTGGAATCGCTCGAGCTTTTCTTGGATCCGGTGCTCGCTCAGTATTAGCAGCGCGGTGGGCTCTAGAGGACGAAGCCACGGAGCAGTTCATGACTTGCTTTTACAAACATTTGTAACGCGGTGAAAATGCCAGTGAATCTCTACACCAGGCCAGGAAATGGATGAGAAATAACGGCTTTAACGAAGTTAATCAATGGGCTACATTCATACTAATTGGCGACAACGTGGCATTTGACTTTGAAAACCGGGAAGTGTCATCTACACCCTGAGAGCCACCAGTAAAGTTGACCCACCACATCGAAATGTAATGGATTGAGAAAACTTGGAAATGTTCGAATTGTTTCCTTGTAGTAGTAGGACGTCATCTTTAAAGGACAGGAATGATATCTAAAGACAAACATTTCTTTAAAAGAAGGCCCATCGATATCTTCATTTAATAATCTGGAACAGGACATTTCATAATGAACCATTCAAGATTTTAGTTTAAAAAAAGCACATTTTTTTTCCGGAAGCTGCACGATAGTTAAATAGCTCAGCAAAATAAGCTTTGATTTAATATTCTTCGAAGCGATGGTCACTCAAGCCAAACCAATTTCAAGTTATTTTTCTTCGAAAGTAATGATTAAGTCATATCAAGAAAATTTGAATTCGGACTAGATACATTTATAATCCGAAGGTCGTTTTAAAGGTTTAAAATAATTTAACCTTCTAACAAATAACTGTGATCACGAGTATAATGAAAAGACGTTTACTAGCAGTGGGGTATAGCTATGTTATGTTTTTATTCTTACTCATTTTTTCATTTTTATGGCGAGGAAATAAGTAATAATCCTACAGAGAGTTTTATCGTGCGCAGAGCGTTCGCCACCAAGTTAAGCGTTCATATCTATTGCCGGTACGCTTAGCTTTTTAATTGAAATTTTGTATGAAAAATTTACTATTTTAAAGCCATGGGAAATGAAAGTTTACATTGCGACAAAATTTGTTAAGATGAGCCATTTATATATTTTCATAGTCATATATGTTTTAATGCTTCTTTTTTTTGTCTCGTCAAATACATAACTTCCTAAGTCAAGCAGACTACTCACTGTATCCGCGCCCAACGTGTTGGGGCGAAGGAAGGAAGGAAGGACCAAGCATTCTAAGTATTAAATAAAGTGCAAGTATCTGTAATGTTTTCTTAAAAAGAAACCAGTTTGTTTTATGACTTAAACTGAGCTGATTGCGCTCTGCGAGATTTCAGGTACATATATCTTATTAGACGTTTTGTTGTGTAGTATCGCTGAGTATTTTTACGAGTTGTGTCGTATTTTGACGAGTCCGTAAGGCGAGTCAAAATACAAATAACGAGTAAAAATACTCAGCGATACTACACAACAAAACGTCTAATAAGTTATTTATTATCCAACACGCCAAACTGTTGTTTCTGCGGGCGAATTTGGCGGATATTTATTTACGGGGAGTGCGTGACAGAAGTATGCGAAGCGGAACGGAATTGGCGCGTTGTTGTGTTGCTGTTTCTATTTTCTTCATTAAATGAAGAAATTTTCTGATCGTCAAGCTGTTTTTCTTCGTTCGATTCATCAAATGAACTTGGATCTATGTTTACCAGCCATTCTGACTCTTCGTCGTCGGAAATATAGTTGAAATTGTCCGCCACTTTTTTTTTTTTCCGTAACTACAATCCAATTCTTCGCTTGCGCGATGCGAGAAAACCAGTTTAACTGCTACTACAATAGACGAGTACAAATACCGCGTGATATTTGTACTCGTCTATGGCGTTATTCGTACTCGTCTAGCTGTAGTTGGATAACAACAGAGAATATCTTTGTTGTCAAACTGATTGACCAGACCATTTTAAGATACTTCCAATTAAAAAGCAATTACATGAGGTCCCACAATTTTCTCTCGAGAATTTTTTGGCGTTCTTTTCATTTCTTCACACTCTCAGCAGTGAGAACCAGCCTGTCACCGATTACTTGAAAGGCAGACAAGATGACAAGATTGCAAGTGAGAAGACAATCACTGCTCCCCACGGGGAATTCGTGGTGTCCTCAGTGCACAGATGCATGCAACTCAACTCATGGTGCGCTCCTAGCGAGTAGCATTTCTAGAAAAAACTACCCGTCTAATACATCCTTTTGACATACACATCAACGAGCCACACGCGATTAAAATCGCGCATTAAGCCAAATTATGTTATAATCATGATATTCCAACAATCAAAATTCGTTTTTCATGATAAATTCTTTAGATCGTAACAAGAAAGTGATAAGATGGATCCGTTAAGACAGTCACATTACTTCGCTCCGAAATTGTCGTTCAAGCTGCGTACTCTAAAGATCAAAGAATGAATTTCAAGTAACGTTTGGGGTTTGTAGGCATCAAATTCAATACTTTCCACTCTTTCTTATTGAGATTCTGTTCCAAGTTTTGTCTATACAGGCTTGCTGGGCTACCAACCCTAGCAGTCGTTTCAGGGTTACTGATGGCGTCTTGACCACGCATGTAGCCAGTGGAGTCGAAAGAAGAAACATCAGATTGCACGATGACAGAGAAAGGGAAATGAATACAGTTGAGATTAACTACAAAAGAATAGAGGAGGATTCAATGCAGTTTTAACTAAATGTGGTTTAAAGAGGGTCTAAATGGGGTGAAGGCTTTCACGGCCAACAGTTAAAATTTCGGCCATTATACGACTAACCCCAATACGACGTATTGTAAAGACTGGAGCACAATTTTTTATATTTAACTTCTTTCACAACCAACGATTAATCAGTTAACATTATTTCCGTTAACCCGCTCTTTTCGAAGTTCATATCGCTTCTTTTCAACGTCCTCTAATTTATCTAAACCAAAGGCCGCCGACAAATTAAAATCAGGAAATTCGTAACGGATGGCAGCCTTTTTTGGGGACAGCAAAAAATCTCAATTTCTATGGGTGACAGGCAAGTAAACAATAGAAATTTTACCAATTAGGATGCTCGTAGTATAAGTTATAAACTGCGTCGCTCTATCGAGCTGAACACTATGTATTATACTCGACCATTTATTTACTCCTGGAAAAGTGGTGAGTTGAAGCGGGCAGTAAAGCAGACAGTCAGGAAGGCACTTTGATGTTCATGGAATTAGATGTTCCCCGAGTTATCTTCGTATTCATTCCTATAAGCTCACTTATAAGTAATCATTGCCATTTGCAACCGAGAACTCTGAACTGGTCAGACAAAAAAAGTTAGACTGTTTTGCCTGAGTAATTCAGAATTCTCAGCTGCCAGTTACACGTAATAACCAAATTTCCTCTTCTTGATGGGTTATTAAATTTTCTTCGGGTTGCGGGCTTCACTCCCATGTCTACATGACTATTGGACAAATATTTCTAAATTATTTTCAGCTCCCACTGTATGAAACAAAATTATTTTATTCGGTCTTCAGGAATGGGCACTAAGAGCGGCAAAGTTCACAATGATCCGTGGAGTACGGTTTCTTAACTCCTTAAGAATCAGTACTGATCAAAACATAACATTTATTACTAACAGCCAAAGCTTTCAATTCTAAAAGAAGAGCACACCTCCTTAACATCACGCAAAAGTACCCCTTACTGGCAATCCAAAAAATGGAATAGCTGCTATGACCCCGATTAAGAGACCATTGCGACTTAACAAATATCAAACAAATCATTCAACAAATAAAAATTTTATTTTCAAGAATGGCATGTAATTATATGCCCGTATTATCAATTGAATCAAATAAATATTTACAATACTTAACTCAACTCTTCATTTTACAAAATGTTCACAACGTTAACTACACATTAGTTACTTATGGTACTACATTTTCACGCTATCGTTTCTCGACACTTTTATTATACTAAGTTACAATTAATAATTACAAGGATGGTCCTGGAGCAAGAAAAGCTGTACGAAAGAGAAGAAAGTAAAAAGATGAGCTGTTATGAGCAGCATTTCTATGTCTCTGCAGTAATATACCGATAGGTGGACTGAAAGCAAATAATTCTTTTGTATGTGGAGGACTGACAGTCCATTGAAAGCGGGGTGAAGGGAATAAACCGTTTAAAAAACTCACCAGATCACTCGGGAAGACATAGAAAACCAAAGTAGTTGAGTCTTATGTACCTGATTGTGAACAGAACGACTTAGGGAATCGATAGTAGCAAATTACAGTATTTTGAAACATTTCCTACAACCACTTGAATTACCCCAGATCGACCGTTACAAATTACGCCATACGTTAGGAATCAACTACCGCATCTAATAGCTGCAGTCGAGGAGCCTGTCAAGTAAGTGTTCGAGACCCATGTCATGCATATAGACATAGAATTGAGGGAAACCGGAAACCATGTAATACAAACATGGGAAGATAGATGAATACCAGAGTCAAAAAAATCATGATTTATAAAGAGCGAGGAAGGTTGGTTCAAACACAGGAAGACTGACCTATAGATTCGACGAAGCGTGATGTAACAATCCCCAAAACACGTTGCCAAAGAATCCTTGCTCTTCTGTAAAAACGTAGAAAGTAATAAACATTGTAGAGAATTGCTGTCAACTTAACGGTACTGTCATACTCAGCACTAATTTCCTAAAAGTGCGGGTAACCTTATATAAGCTTAGGTGGAACAAGCCGGGTAAGATCCTCGCAACGCAAGCTAATAAACCAAAAAAATTAAGCTACAATGACAAACATAAAAGATATATAAAAAAACCGTTTCTGTCACCATGAATCAAACGATCCCAAATCTTAAAAATATCAAAAAACTTCTACGTGCCAAAGACTGACCGAGAGAAGTCAACAAAAGTCTTATATACGAATATAATTTGGATATATCAACAAAGTTGAAATGGTAAATTGGCCACCGTAATGATTACAAAAGCTGACGTTTCGAGCGTTAGCCCTTCGTCGGAGCGAATAGAGGAATTGTGGGTTGCGTGGGCTTTTAAAGGCAGAAAATGGAGCTACGTTATTGGTGGGTGCATGGCAACGAGAAAAACATGAATAAATTAGTGGAATGAAAAGCGTTCATTGATCCCTGTGGGATTTAGACTGCCGGTTTGAAAGATGAGCTTTTGTTCAAGATTTTTACGGCTTTCCGTGCCACCTAAGTGCAAGGAAAGACCGCAGATTGCCATATGTTGCTTAGAATGATTAGGTAAATTAAAATGTCTAGCGACTGGTTTCGATGTGTCCTTGTCATTCCTTTCCACGTCTCGAAGGTGTTCTCGGAATCGGTCACCTAGTCTTCTGCCTGTTTCGCCGATGTATATCTTTTTGCAATAAGTGCAAGTTATGCAATAGATTACATTAGCGGAGGTGCACGTGAAGTGATCGGTGATCTTAATGGATCGTTTAGGTCCCGATATTTTATCAGTGTTGTGAATGAAAGGACACGTTTTGCATCGTGCACGAGCGCATTTAAAAGTGCCTGGTTGCTCATTAGTCTGAAAAGAACTTCTGACCAAAAAATTGCCTAAGTTTTTGTCGCGTTTGAATGAAATGAGCGGAGGCTGCGAAAAGATAGTGC